ATTTAAAAAGTTCTAATACATAGAATCAATGAAGATCAATCACGAAAGGCATTTACATATTTTCACCACATCGGAATAGACAGTACAAGCCAAGTTATATTCCCTATATAGTAAAAAACCAGGGCCGTATCTTGTCGTTCCTGCTGTCTGCCCTATCTTCTACCCCACAGAGCTATAGAGTGTAGGGTAGATATATAGCACTCTTGCTAGCGCCTTGTACTGTGTCAGCACTCAGGCTCGCTGCGGCTGTAAATCTCTCTGAGTTACAGACTGCCTAATGCCCTCTTACTGCTATAAACAGCCCTGTCTGACCATTACAATTAAGGGTGATTACAGTCATTACAGCCAGTTGGCCTAATTGATGAGGAAAAACAGTCAATGTGGAGTTTGTGCTTGTGTGTGCATGCATTCGCTGCTAAGCGTCCTGTCGTGAATCACCTGTCAGTCACTCGAACTGACTCAATGCACTTTCTGACACTGCAACAACAGTAGTCTTTTCCAGCGATCGTTTGTTTAGGGGGGAACTCAGAACATTAAATAGGCAGTATTTTTTTCTGGTCTCTTGACTTCTACGTCACAGCTCATGCACAAGCACAAAGCAACATAGCTTGGCAGTTGTCATGACCACAGAGTTGAAGATGTCATCATCCAATCAGCATTGTGAAGGCCATTGTGGATGTCTTTGAGCTGGCTGAGTGGGGGAGGTGAAACATGAAACTGTTGGTTAATATTATTTCGCCCTGCCTGCTGGTGCACGCTGACGAAATAAAAACTCAGAAGACGTTTTAAGGGTGGAGCGAACGTTTACGTTTTGACGGAGAGTTATGGGAAAAAGAAAAAAGGCTAATTTTGATGTCCAGTTGCCTTTAATGCACCATTTCATGCCCTGTGGTGAACAAAGAAGTGTTCTAGAGCTGATGCATTTAACCTCTGAGATAAAAAGAGCTGAAATACACTCACTGCTACGTGCAAGCTATCGTAAGACTGGCAACGTCACTGATAAACCAACATCATCAGAAGCGGTAGTTTAGAAGCTCTGGAAGTTTTAGACTACAATCTGAGTAGCTGATCTTGGTACATAACAGTGTTTATTAGTAGACTTACTGTCATATGAAATTGTCCATTTTATCAGCTCCACTTAATATATAGGTGCACTTTGTAGTTCTACAGTTACAGACTGTAGTCCATCTGTTTCTCTGTATACTTTGTTAGCCCCCGTTTACCCTGTTCTTCAGTGGTCAGGACCCCCATGGACCCTCACAGAGCAGGTACTATTTGGGTGGTGGATCATTCTCAGCACTGCATTAACACTGACGTGGTGGTGGTGTGTTAGTGTGTGTTGTGATGGTACTAGTGGATCAGACACAGCAGCGCTGCTGGAGTTCGCCTTAAGTTCATAATATAGGCAAGGCGCCGACAACAGAGTGATGTACAAATTCAGAAGTCTACTCTAAGGGATAAGGAGAGGTCAGAACATAATTGTAAATGGTATAAATGGAACTTAGGTAAACAATTCAATTCAAGAAAATTTTTGAATTTGGGTTCTTTGAGGCCAGAGTACAGAAACCCAGCTCCCACCATCAGGGGTTTGGCTGGTGTGTTCTACTTGAGTGTGATTGGTTTACTAAAAGTTTCCTTGACCGCTCATGTCTAGTACACAGATACACTGCTATGTAAAAAGAGTTCAAATTGGTCAAATAATAGTAAAAACTTTGAGTGTGGTTGAATACTGGTTTCCCAATATAAAAATCTGATATCTGGCAACATATAGATTTTCAATATTTGATATACGCTGTATGGTCAAAAGTATTGGGACACCTACGCATTACACCAACAAGAGATTTTATGACATTCTGTTCTACCACAGGTATTGATATGGAGCTGGTCCTCCTTTGCAGCTATAACAGCTTCCACTCTTCTGGGAAGCTTTCTACAAGATATTGGAGAGAGTCTGTGGGAATTTTTGCCCATTCATCCATAAGGGCATTTGTGAAGTCAGACACTGATGTTGGACGAGAGGGCCTGGCATGCAATCTCTGTTCTGGTTCATCCCAGAGGTGTTTGATGGGGTTGAGCTCAGGCCTCTGTGAGGGCCAGTCAAGTTCTTCCACACCAAACTCACCCAGCCAGGCCTTTATGGATGTTGCTCTGTGCACTGGGGCTCAGTCATGCTGGAACAGGAAAGGTTCTTCCCTAAACCGTTCCCACAAAGTTGGAAGCTTAAAATTGTCCAAAATGTCTTGGGATGTTGAAACATTAAGATTTCTCTTCACTGGAACTAAGGGTTCTAGACCAACCCCTGAAAAACAACCCTATATCATCATCCCTCCTCCACCAAACTTCAAACAGTCAGGCTGGTAACGTTCTCCTGGCATTCGCCAAACCTAGACTCGTCCATCAGACTGACAGATAGAGAAGCTGATTCGTCACTCCACAGAATACGATTCCACTGCTTCACAGTCATGTTATCTAACATAAGTATTTTATTTATCTTCTTTATTTCTTCCACATGCTCCCTAATGAAGTGAAAATTAGTACAATAGCTACATAGCTAAAAAATTGTAAGCTATGCAATAAAATCATGTAAACATGAAGTTAATGAAAGTTTTGTTCCCTGACACATTTAAATAATTTAATGTTTTAAAGCAAGCAGTTAACAGTAACAATTATGACTGTACTGGATGTTTTCAATGACAAATCACACATAAATGTATGAACGATATATTATGCAAATATGCCTAATATTAGACACACACACACACACACACACACACACACACATACACACACATTTTCTAAGCTACTTATCCTTCTGGGTCGCAGTGAACATAGGTGCATGTATATTTTAAAATATGTGCCTGACTCTTTATGATATATGTGCATATATGGGTCTGCTATTATAATAAATAAATCATCAGACAAAAAACAACCAAAATGTTACTGTAGAGTTTAAACAATATTTTGGGACCTGTTTTTTCAAACCCACGTTAAGACAGTGGGCAAAAATAATTGTCTTTACAGTTTTCCTTGGACACAGTCACACTCAACTCCTTTGTAATGGAACAGCTCGCAAGAAGTGCTTAAAAATGAATACATTTTGTTCTTTTCCATGCCGATGATGATTGAGTCAACAGCGCCCTCTGGCGGTCGCCATAGTGACTAACAGACAAGGCCTTTTCAGCTTCGGTCTTTACTCAGGGAAAAAGAAGGAGGATGAAATAATTGATTGTAGTTTTTACAATTGGGAACATTTTGATATAAAAAAGACAGAAAAAAAGAGTTTTAGTGTATTTTTTAAAGTCATTATAAACAAGATCAGTCTGTTTTTGTGTTGTACTATGGCTGGATACTATAACAGCCTGGTTTACCTGTATATTGATTAAACTGTTGGTTTCTGGCATCAGCTGATTTTTTTTCTTAAACCACAGATTTTTTTTATTAACTTTCCTCTTAAAAACATCTGCATCCTAAAATCAACTTGTAGCAAGGGTAAATTTTGTGTCTAGGCCAAAGAATGAGTGCTAAATGTGTATTAATCTATTCATGTACAACATCAAAATTTAGTATAAAGCCTAATGGTTTTGCTTTCTAATGGGAACTGGCTTAATGGTAACAATTAGAAGCCACTAGTTTCCTGTAGAACTCCAGTGATTCCATTAGAAAACCATTAAATGCGTTTAGAATCAGTCACTGGTCACCTATTAAACCGTTACATTGTAAAAATCCACCCATCAGCAAAAGCTGACACACTGTACAGAACTAACAGGAACGAAAAAAAAATATTTAGTGGTTTTTATGTTTTTTCTACAGGGTAATGTTCATAAAAAAGCACTGACCAATAGAAATAGAAAGGGACGGCCTGGTACAATACATCCCTGCTAGAAACACCAGCATAGGACAGCATGGACGCCAGCAATACTGGCATATGTTGTGTTCTGGATGCTGCGTGACCAGCTAAACCATCACCAGACCAGGATAAGCCAGCATGAACCAGCTTAGACCAGCAAGAAATGCATGCTGGTCTATGTTGTCCTTTGTCAGCAGGGATGAGTCTAAGGTCAGCATGCTTAATATCAATTGCAGGCTAGAGGGACATACAGCCCTGGAACATTGGGCCTGTGGAGCAGTGGAACTGGGTTCTCTGGATGGAGCTCTATCTAATACCTTAGTGATGAGCTGGAGTGATCCAGAACTGATCATCCAACATCAGTACCTCACTAATGCTCTTGTTGCTGAATGCCACAAAATCTTCACAGCAACGTTCCAACATCTAATGTAAAGCCTCTCCAGAAGAGCAGACACTGTTACTGCGACAAATGTGGACAAACGTCCTATTCAAGGGGAACTTCACCAATTTTTCAAAATTTCAAATAATTTAATAGCTTAGATGTAAACAAAGTCATTCACAGTGGTTTGGTGTGAAACACTCCTTTCTAGAGAAACTGAGTCAGAATTATTTACAGTGGTGATGATAGGAACCAGACGTCCACCTCTAAAAGCTCCCTCACATGAAATGGTTATGAATTCACTGCCTGATGTCTGAGATGTTGTTTTACGACAGTTTTGTGATAAAGTTTTGGCCTAAAATGTCTTGTTAACCCATTTATTGGAGTCCATTCATGGTGGAGGGGTACATGCAAGACATTGTGAGGCAAAACAGTCCATAAAAAAAACTAATTTTTTTCAGATTTGCTTCTATTTTACCATCAACATTATGTGTAAAAACCCAGAATATACGTGTAGGCTCACAGGTGGTTTTGGATAGTAAATGAAATGGCTATATTTGTGTTGCTGTTTCTTATCATCCTGACTGTAAACAAACCTGAGCCGGTACTTTGTTTACATCCGACAACGGAATTATACAACATACTTTGAAAAATCGGTGGAATTCCCCTTTAACGCTCTTGATTTCAGTAGAAATCTTCCCACTCCAGCACAGCAGGTGGCGCCTTGCGGAGGCGCCAAGTAAATAAGGACTCCATTACCCACAGTTCCTAGCAATTTTAATATGGCGCCGACAATATCGGCGATTACAGAACAGCGAAGAGAAAATGTGAAATAACAGATTTTTACCAGAATAAGTGAGTTTTTCTGTGAGTGTACGGAAGCATGAGGCTAGCTTTCAGAGTGCTGAGACAGTTTGAGGGGAAAACGCGGCTCGGCCCGGTAGTTTGGGTCAGATCTGTGTCGGACAGTCCACCTTTGCGCGGTGTTGTGAACGATAATAAGGACATTAAGGGGGTTAAAGGAGAGCAGAGCTGGCTGTGTGCGTCCTCTGTACCTGTTTTACAGACAGTGCGGGGACACGTCGAGGTGAGAGAAAACTTCATCACAGAGGAAGAGGAGAACGCCCTTCTCAAAGAGCTAGAACCAGGACTGAAGAAGAAGAGATATGAGTTCGACCACTGGGATGACGTACGTACCAGCTTTCACAACCTGGACATACGTTACTGATGACGCTGATCAGCCATAACATTAAACCCTCCTCCTTCTTTCTACGCTCATTGTCCATTTTATCAGCTCCACTTAACATATAGGTGCACTTTGTAGTTCTACAGTTACAGACTGTAGTCCATCTGTTTCTCTGCATACTTTGTTAGCCCCCTTTTACCCTGTTCTTCAGTGGTCAGGACCCCCTTGGACCCTCACAGAGCAGGTACTATTTGGGTGGTGGATCATTCTCAGCACTGCAGTAACACTGACGTGGTGGTGGTGTGTTAGTGTGTGTTGTGCTGGTCTGAGTGCATCAGACACAGCAGTGCTGCTGGAGTTTTTAAACACTGTGTCCACTCACTGTCCACTCTATTAGACACTCCTACCTTGTCCGTCCACCTTGTAGATGTAAAGTCAGAGACGATAGCTCATCTGCTGCTGCACAGTGTGTGTTGGTCATCCTCTAGTCCTTCATCAGTGGACACAGGACGCTGCCCACAGGACGCTGTTGGCTGGATATTTTTGATGGGTGGACTATTCTCAGTCCAGCAGTGACACTGAGGTGTTTAAAAACTCCAGCAGCACTGCTGTGTCTGATCCACTCAGACCAGCACAACACACACACACACCACCACCACATCAGTGTCACTACAGTGCTGAGAATGATCCACCACCCAAATAATACCTGCTCTGTGGTGGTCCTCTGAGGGTCCTGACCATTGAAGAACAGGGTAACAAAGTATGCAGAGAAACAGATGCACTACGGTCTGTAATTGTAGAACTACAATGCATTGTTTCTTTCCAAATGTACTCCAAATACTAAAGTACATTAGGAAAAAAAATGGCCATTTTCATACATTTTCAAAACTATTTGATAATAACATTTTACATATATATTTTTTCCCATACGTGACAATAATATGACGATAATAAATCCATCATGATGAATAGTAAAACAAAGGATAAATAATTGATTGTAGTCTAGGTGAGCAATTATACAATTTCCAAAGATCAAGATCAAGGAGATAGAAATAAAAATAACAAAACATTAAAAATAAGAACACCTGGATAAACTTTCCCTTAAAGGGCCCATATCTTACATTTTCTTGAATTTTTAAATTCTTTTTACCCTAAAGTCCACTAATGAGGTTTATCTGGGTTTATGTATCAAAACCAGCCATAATTCCTTATTAAACATCCATTTCCAAACTCTTCTTATCTCTTAGAATTAAACAGCTGCTTTGCTTTTAAGACTGAAATATGTAAATGTGTACATTTCATCAAAAAAAGAAATGGACTGAAAAACAGTTGTACACCAGAGACATCTGGTGGACAAATGAGGAATTGCAGCTATAAATCTACTCTGTTCTTGGAGGATGCTGCAGGTTTTAGGCTACACGGTCCATATCTATCCCTTTGAATATTTTTTTGAAAACATGTTATGTGTTTCTAAAGCAATAATGGCAATAATTAGTAATATAAACGTGTCAATTTGGGTTTTAGAAGTAAAAAAAAACAAAAAAAAAAACTGATCATGTTGGGACTATATTGAGAATAGATCACAGCTATGGAATTTTATTGTGTAAATTAAAAGCACTCAAATCCAGACCTGGAAGGTTTCATGAAAAAGTGTGGATGTTCTTCTGTCAAAAGAGTATTCCAAGAAGATTCCAAGATGTGTCTCTAATGCTCATCGCCTCCTTTTTTTTCATTACCGTGACACAATTATGACTTTAGCAACTGAAGTCTGGAAAAAACATTCTTAGATGGCTTGAGGAATTTTCATTGCTAACCATTTTATTAAACAGTACGCCATAGGTTATAATTTCATAATACCAATATGATGCTGTTATTAGACAGCATTATAACCTAAAGTTATATCTCTGGATTCTAAAAACAGCTGTTGATATTGAGCTAATATGGGTCGGTTTCTCAGATGTGGATTAAGCTTAATTAAATTAAAAGACTTTGCAAAAAAAAGTTTGCATGCCAGTCATAGTTTACATTAAACCATCCAATTTACACTTAGGCTTAATCTAGGAACATTATTATGAAATTCTAATTCTATAATAATATTATATTCTGCATTATTAGTCATTTTTACCTTTGCTTGGTCTCTTTTCCCAGGCCATTCATGGTTATAGAGAGACGGAGCGGTTGCAGTGGGGGAGTGCATGCGCTGCATTGTTGGGCCGTGTTAGAGCCGTTGCCTTTCCAGAAGGAAGTCCTCTGCTGGGGCCTGTGCACGTCTTGGACCTCGACAAGGCCGGCTACATCAAACCTCATGTGGACAGTGTAAAGGTGTGGCTTTCCATTGCAAATACTTTTGTGGGCCAGACTTAATTTGCGCAGACCTACAAGCTTAAATAAAATATAACATATTTGAAGAAAGAAAAACAAAACCAAATGTATGCAAATAATACCATGAAAACAAAAGAAAAGTGCAAAAAAGGAAAAAAAATATTTATTTGTGTTTATTAGTAATGACAAAAACAAAGCTTTCCAAAGGCTTTTAAAAGTAGTGCACATTAATGACACCTGGTGGTGAAAAGCATGAACAGCAGCTTTACGTCTACTGTAGGGGATGTTTTAGGATAAGAATCCAAATCTTTATATTTGAAAGCATGTCACTGGTTTCCAAGGCACTGCAGGTAATTATTAACACAAAGATGATGCTGGGGTGTGTTAGATGATTCAAAACTCTATCATCTTAGAGGCTCACGATACTTTACAGCTGGTTTTATAGCAAATCTCCCGACAAACTCATACATAACCTTATTTACCTCAACCTTTTCCAAGCCTTTTACATTTATTTTCACAGTCTTCTGGGCTTCATATACAACATCTAAATCAGGATATAAGTGATCAGCATTGGCTTAAACCTGCACTGGTTCGCTTCTGTTAAATCAGTTCCCAAAGCAATCGCGTGACTCTGTGCCGAATAACAATTTGAATGTCGTGTGTTTTTGGGAAAGTGAATCAACCATCGATGCAGGGCTTCAAAGTAGTCAAGTCAAGTCAAGTCAAATTTATTTATATAGTGCCTTTTACAACAGATGTTGTCACAAAGCAGCTTTACAGAGAATCCCGGTCCACGCCCCCAGTGAGTAAGCCTTGGCGGTGACAGTATAAGTGGATAAGTAAAGTGAGTTGGTTCGTTCCAGTGCTTCAGTATCGAGGGTGACATCATTGGTCCTCATAAATGTTTTGTTACGAATAATCTAAGTAGATTTTAGTAGTCATTTACACTCTTAAAATAAAAGTGACAAAAAAGGTTTTTTGAAGAAGAGCCTTTCAGTGGATGGTTCCCCAAAATACTTACTTTGCAAAAGTGGAAGTGGGAAAACCCTGTTTTTGTGGAAGTTTAAACAACCTCGCACTCCTCCACAGTGTAAAGATTATATGCCAATTCAAAGTTTTCAAACTGTACATCTGTGCCAAGAACCATTATAGAACCTTTATTTTTAAAGGTGTAGTTGTGATCTACACTCTTAAAAAAGAGTCAAGGGTTCTTTAGCAAAGCAATGGTTCTATATAGAACCATGAACATGTCCTTTGTATGACTTTGCATCGTGAAATGTTTCTTCAGATAGTTGGATAATGTGCTGGAGATGGTTCTACATAGAACCTTTTTGAAAAGGGTTCTATATAGCACCCAAAAGTGTTCTTCCATTATTACAAGCTTGACATAGTAACAATAGAAGAACCCTTTTTGGTGCCATATAGAACCATCTCCAGCACTTTATCCATCAATCTAAAGAACCCTTTAATCATGCCAAGGGTCCTTTGGTGTTTATGGTTCTACATAGAACCATTTTCTTTACTAAAGAACCCTTGAAGAACCATCTTTTTTAAGAGTGTATATACTTCTTTATTGTCTCTGCAGTTCTGCGGAAGCACCATTGCTGGGCTCTGTCTGTTATCTGACAGTGTCATGCGGTTGGTCCGAGAGGAGAACCCAGCGGATTGGGTGGATTTGCTTCTAAGTCGTCGTTCTCTCTACATCTTGAGGTAAAAAAACAAAAAACAGTGCACCATCCTCTCTCCTTCTTCCAGTTTGTCTTATTTCTGCATTATGTAAAGTGTTTTTTGGTAAAAAAAATAAATAAATAAAGTGACCATTTTCTTCCTTACCCAAAACACAGCTGATCAGCCGAGACGTGTCTGGTGTCTGAGGTTTGCGTCTTCTTTTTCACTGGAGCTAACAAGCAGCTCAGGCTTGAATCCCTTAAAAGGCCAAAATCCTACATTTTCTTGTATTTTCTTTTAATATTCCTCTGAGGTCCACTTGCAATATTTGTGAGGGTTTATATACCAAAAACAATCACAATTCATTTTCAAATGATCATTTTTTCCAGCATCTCTTTATCTCTTAGAATTAAAGAGGCTAACACAAAAGGTTCTACTTTTTCTGGTGGAAGGAGTTGCCAATATTAAAGCACATTTGATACGGTGTTCGGGGCTTCTTTGCTTTGTAAAACTGCAGAATTAAAGCAATAGAACACTCAAGGTTCAGCGACTAAATCCCGGCTGTGATGTTATTCGCGATAACTGACACCAGAAATATATATTTTTCATGTTAAATTATATGACAGAACAAAACAACATTTCCAGCTGCTCTCTATTAAACAGGCTGTTTTTGTTACTGTGCCTTTAAGACTGATGCATCTTGATTGGCTGCCTGTGTTGCGCCTCTTTCAAATTTTTCATATAACTTGAATGTGAATGGCTGAGTACAGACTGCTATAGACTGAATGGACTGGTTTTGTGACATCACAAAAACAATGAATTCAAAATGGGATGTATTTCTTGTTAGTTTCCATATATGGACTGTATGCACTGTGAGTGAATGGTTTTGAAATGTGATTTGGAAATCTGAAGGCATTTTTCTTATTTAACATCATGCATTTGCAAGTGAAACAGATTATTCAGGCTGCAAATAATTATGGTCAGGACGTGATTTTATTGGAATCATGAAAAGCTAGCGTTAAAAAATGAACATGAGATCAGACCAGTGAATATACAGTCAATCGCGGAGGACTACTAGCCTCCTGCATCAGCTCCTGCACTCACCACAGGTCCAGTTTCATTTCAGATTTTATACTACATCAAAATTCACATCATATTTTTCATGATATGGGCCCTTTAACTCCGTTTGAGGCAAGTATGTAATTTCTAGACATGCAGTTTGTATGATGCCATTCGGTGGGGCCATTTTTATATATATATTAGCCTCACAGCTCCAGTTCAAAACTCAATCAGTCAAAATCAATAAAAATAATATTAAATAAGAAAAAAGAAAAAACAATAAAATATACAAAAATCAAATAACTAACAAATATATATTAAAAATGGCAGGCTGCGTGGAGGTGTTTAGACATTAAAACCTTGCTAAAACAGATCTTTAGAGCTTCCTGTAATAAAAGCAAATTTTTACAGTTCAGTAAAAACTCGGCACCTGAAATGTGATCCAGTCACTGGAGTGAGTTTGATTATTTCTGTTATTCACAGTCTGCATAGAAGTGATAAACGATGGCATATGGCCAGTCAGTGCTTAATAGATAAACAAAATCCAGTGTGTTTCCTGACCTACAGCCACAGAGGACCAACCAGCTTTTCCAAAGAGTATAAAGAAGCAAACCTCAGACACCAAACTGTGTTTCGGCTCATCCGTCGAAATTGGTTAAATATTGCTTATATATTCTAAATGTTCTCCTCCTCACCCTCACAGGGATGAAGCACGCTTTAAATTCACGCATGAGATCCTGAAGGACGAAGATTCTTTTTTCTCAGGACAGAGGGTCCCTCGCCATCGCCGTATCTCTGTTATTTGCAGGAACCTTCCTGTTTAGATATTCAGGTGGAGGACTTTAAGCTGCCACACTGGTTTGGGAGACATCTGATGGACGGTCCCACTTTGTCTGGCTTATATATAAAAGTTTTGGTATTATTTTAGGCCAATAAATTCTCACTTGTTCAAGATTGTGCTGCAAGGTAGTACTCAGTGTTACAAAAACACTTTGATAAAATGTGACTTGCAAAGACGTGGATGTGTGAGGAGTGATTTTCAGGGGTGGACAAAGTATAAAAATCTTGTACATCAAAGCATGAAAAAGGTTTGCTTGGGTGCCACACAGGTCACCTTAATAGAAACTGGTTATCAAACATCATAACTGATAAACTTCAGAACATTTACTTTTAATGCTATGTTTCTACCACCAGTGGGTGCTGTTAGAGCACTTTTGTCCAGGGCAGTTGTGGTGTGTGCGGTATGCTGTTATTAACTACCTGTACCCACTCAAAATTGCAGATAACTGAGGACGAAAGGCTTCATTAAAGGTTTGATGTAGTTTTTAAACATTAAGGTTTCAAACTGTACTGTCCTCACGTGGAAACTAAGCTGCAAAATAAGCCTATTTTGAATTCACTGTATTTGTGATGTCACAAAAACAGACACATTTACATATATCTGCCTATTTAGTCTATAGCAGTTTAGCCCCATCCATTCACACTGCAGGGTACCACTTTAAAATAAGACCTTTATAAAGGGTTAATGAATGATTTGATGACTGATGAAAATCGTTAATAAGCATTCATAACACAAAAAGGGCCAAACTTGACCTGTTGTTTGCATAATAGTGAACCCTCATTCATTTATACTCTAAAGCTCAGATTTTGATGTTTACTGATCTTAATTTGTCATCTTCATCATTCAGCATTAAACCTGTCAGCTTAATCAAATGTTCGTATTTATCAGATAAAACGGCTCACTTTTGCCCTTTTTATTCATGTGTTATAACTCCTTATTGATGCTCTTTAAAGTGTTTATGACCTAACTAATAACCATGAACAAGCTCATTTTAAACCTTTCATAAACCCTTTATAAGGGTAGTCTTATTTTAAAATGGTACCCACTGCAGTTACAAGCAGTGTTTCAGCCCACACTGCTTTTTGAATGAGGCACAATACAGTGCAGCCAAGCGGGACACTTTGTTTTTCGGTTTTAAAAATAATTAAAAAACACAAATGTTATAAGTAGACCTCAGGGGAAAATGTAAGATACGGGTCCTTTAAACCCAAAATTGCCTGCAGGTGCAAATGACCCGGTCATACTACTTGAAAGTCAATTGTGCAAATAAATATGACAGTAAGTGTCCTCCTGCATGCCAGATGATCTTTGTATTGGTCTCGTGATGCCCCACCCCACATCGTACTAAAACAACAGCAGCTTTTTGAGGAAGGAATTTTGGAAGTAGAAGCATTTTTCCCAAAGAAAAATCAGGACACAATTTCACACCATTCTTTGATTTTTCACTGTAGCTACAAAACCAAAATGTGACCTGGTGGCAAGCAGCCCGGTTCAATGTTCAAACTGCACCTGGAAAACTCCAGAACTTCCACTATATGGCCAAAAGTATGTGGACACACCTCCTATTTATTAAGTTCAGGTGTTTCAGCCACACCCTTTGCTACAGGTGTATAAAATCAAGCAGATGGCCATGGACAAACACTGGCAGTAGAATGGGTCATACTGAAGAGATCTAAACTGACTTTAAATAGGTACTGTCATAGGATGCCAACTCTTCCACAAGTCAGTTTGTGAAATTTATGCCGTTAGATCTGCCCCAGTCAACTGTAAGTGCTATTATTGTGAAATGGAAGCATTTACGAGCAACGCCGAGTGCTGAAGAGTATAGTGTGTAAAAAAACGCTTGTCCTACGTTTCACGCTGCCTCAAGAGCTTCATGAAATAGGTTTCCATGGCCAACTGCACACAAGCCTAAAATTACTATGTTCGATGCCAAGTTTCGGCTGGAGTGGTGAGTCACACTTTAGCATTGGGAACTAAGGGTTTGGGCCCTTAGTTCCAGTGAAGGATAATTTAATGCTACAGCATTCAAATACATTATAGATATTACCGCCCATGGTTTCGGAATGGGTTGTCTAACTGTCTCGTATAGGTGATGGCCAGGTGTCCACATACTTTTGGCCACATAGTGTATATCAAATTGTGCTTTAACACACAAAAAACCTACAAGTGTATCTGACATTTGACTCCCTAGTTAAATATGCCATCAAAAGATAAATACACAAATAATGAGCAAATTTTATTACAGTTCTGTAACAGTGTATGGACAATGCATCACTTATTTAACTAAAAGGCAATCTTAATCACTAAAATAAAAATGCATATGGTTTAATCCAATACAAGTTCTGCAACTGGCTCTGCTCAGTCAATCTCAACACTCTACAGGAAGTCAAAACACCTCACACATTAAAGATGTGGCTCAGAAACACAACAATACTCAGTGGAAAATGGTAATCAAAACTCTTCGCTCTCTCGTACATGTTCGGTCTTGCTAATCGTATTAGCAATCATGTCCAGTTCCTAATCATATTCTAAGTTACTAAATTGTGCACATTTGTGCTTTTCCTTCTTCTAAGACACAACCAACTCATCAGCTAATCATCAAGCCCAGGTAAGAAGCGTCGATAAGAAGAAAAATGAAAAATGTGCAGAGTTTACAAGAGTGGCTGAGAAGCACACCGACCCAGCGTTCCCCAACAAGCAGCAACAGAACCAAGTGTGTGGCTGGTGTGCCATACTCTTGTGTTATTGTTGTGAAGTCTGTAGAATGTTCTGTCCCTCACTGGAGCAGAATAAGCCCGTAGCACACGGACCCATCATTCCCCAACAAACACAACATTTTAATGTTGGCAGTGCTGAATAATAATTGATAATCCAAACAGACCAGTGTGAATAAGGGAAGATCATTCCAGTAAAAAGCCCAGGGCACAATGAAGCAGTGTTCTCCAACACACCAGAACACTGGTTTGATTTGTCATATCTGGGTGGGACTGTTGCCCCTACAATAGGCTTTCCCATTCACACTCTTCTAGAATGTTCCCCACCAATTCACACTGTTCTAGAAGGTTCCACCTTTCAAGATGTAAATTATTCTCCTTGTTCACCCTGTTCTAGAACTTTCCCCACCTATTCACAATGTTCTATGACGTTCTCCCTGATTCACGCTTGGTTTATCGGTTATTCTGGAACGGTATAAAGCCAGCTGTCAACATGGAGAACAGTGTGCTGTGGGGTGTATTTTACAAAGTATTCCCCAAAAAGATGGACAATTTTAACTTAAAGTCAAATCAGTCCAAAAGGAATATCTCTGACCTTCTTACTGGACAGGTTTAAGTTATCTGGCTAAGTCTGGGTTACGGCTAACAGTAGCATCTTGATGTTTGTTGGAGAATGCTGGGTGAGGATGCTCTGGCCTTGATCCAGGTGCCTGTTCTACTCTGTGAGGTAGAAATGCATCTTGTCATTGATGTTCTTTCTCTCTGGGTTGAGTTTCTTGAGGATTTGGGCGAGCACGTTGACGGTCTGCTCGCTGCTCAGGCCGGTGCGCTTGGTCTGGAATTTCTTCAGCAGGTCTTTGGTGGTCATGGGCTTCCTGATCAGGTACCGCCGCACTGCATCCTCCGTCAGCTGCACATCACTGAAACAGAGAGAAAAGGAGGGTCAGATGGAGGAAAGATGCTACTTTCACATGCTTTTGGAATTAAGAGTTACTGACAAAAAAAATCAGCTATAATAAAAATAAAATATATTGTGCAGTTGGGATCTCAATTTTCCAACTCTGAGTCTCATATTTCCCACCTCAAAGTGTTCACACATCAGCTGTTTGAGGTAAAAAGAAAAAAAGGATGCTCACAGTAGGCTACCGCTTGTTTGGCTGTTGGGTGCACATCTAAAAAGCCCTTAAAAAGCTCTTCCACTGGAATTAATGAATTGTCTGGGAGGTCATTATTTAAAAAGTGGATGTACACTATGACAAATTACTGTTAATAGCACCAACAAATATCTCCCGTGTTTATTTATATCATACATAAATAGACACTCAAAAGTCTACTTAATTTTTTTGCCACTTGAGTCAGTCATTCACTTTGTCGTAAATGCACCATGAACTCGCTTTACTGGTAAAATCTAATTAAAAAAAGAAATAAAAAAAAATCTAAGTCACTGTCATCTGTTCTCACCACAGATGTGTTGAGTGACGGATGAAATATGGTGCAATACAGAATAGCAGCAAACAACAGTACAAACAGATAATTAAAATATTAAATACTAACTACACAAACACTCAAAAAACAACAGTGTGGATACTATTATACTATCATCAGCGCACACTGACAATAGTCATGATCATAATGACAATAATAATAATAATAATAATAATAATAACAATAATAATTATAACAACAACAACAACAACAACAACAACATCGTTTTTGTCACCCAGACCTACCTGGAGCTAGGTGTAGATTTGCCAGACGCTGGCTGAGGGGTGCTCTTCCCTGAGGGGCTCTGAGAACTGGGCTCCATCTTCAGCCTTTTGGCAGCTGGAGTGTCTGAACTGGACATGGCCGCCTGCCGCTTACCTGAGGCATCACAACACCACAGAGGGGACGAGTAGACCCAGAAACAGAACAATGGAGTGAGAAGAACATGAATGCAAGAAGGAATCATACCATGATTCAATTATTTTGAAAAGAGTAGGGAGGGGTATTGTTAGCACTGTGTCAATGCAAGTACTCTTATCGGTTCTATTTTTTATTTTGGGTAAATCCATTATCTAAAATGCCTTATCTACCACACCCCCCACCCCCACGCCATGTGTAGATCTGTGTATTGTCTTTCTCTTGAAATGTATTAGCTCAGCCTTATGCTTTTAGCCCAGTCTCTCTCAACTACTTACAAGCAAGTTCAAGGACAGTGCTTGTAACTCTCTTATAACTGCTATCCATGGTGTAGGAGTGGGTACCTTTTCTTTTGGCCCATCTTTTTTTCCTGTTTTTGACCTAGACAGGGCGACTGGAAAGACTTTGTATTTCTTTTTCATTATTGAACTCGTGACCTCTCACACCTGAAGCGAGAATCATACCCCTAGACTGTTTCGGATAGCAGGAACGTGGAGGGGCCTGAGTTTGAACCCTTTCTAGAAAGCACCAGAGCTTCTGTCTCATACTGCATTATCAAATACCAGCCCATGTCACAGGGAGGCATCCATAAAGGGCACCCATGGTGTACCTTGTTCCAGTTTGCTGGCAGCAGCACGCAGAGTGTTGGAGGTTGCTGCATTGTCAATTGAGGGCGTTCCTGGACGGCTTCCTGTTCTGGAACTTCCAGCAGACCCTCGACCTCCACGCTTAGGAGGGGTACGCTTCTTCTGCACGTGGAGAAAATGGAAACAGTCACTCCTCTTGTTTCTGTTTACCTTCCAATTGCCATCTGTCATGCCTTCTACATTTTCTGTAGTTGTGGTTTTCTACATTTAAGTAAATTTCCTGAACTTAAAAACTAGTTGCATGCATCATTTCTTGGTTATGATACTTGGTTAAGCATCCAACTGCTGGAAGACAACACTGATCCTGTCAGGTAAGCATTACAACTGTCTTCTGAGATTTGCCATTTTAGTCCACTCTTCCACTAACTTTGTGCTTCAAACAGAACAAAACATTGACAATCTCACATTCCAGGATGACAACTAAAGGTTGTCTGTATGTGACTGGTTCAAACAACACAATGGAACAATCAGACAATTTCTCTGACCATCAAAATCACCAAACCTCAAACCCAGTTCTGTATTTGGAATAGCAGGTGAAATACAGAAACAGACCAAATTTACACCCAGTTTGTAGAAGAATGGACAATAACTATCTTAAAAGACTAGTGTAATACTTATCCAACAGGATTGTTGCTGTTATTAATGCAAGAAGATGCATAATCAAGTGTAACCAAGGAGAAAGGCACTATGTTACTGCCATGAAAAGTGCAGAGGCGGTCTCTCCCTCGATGTCACTGTCCTCTGAGCTGTCGGATTCTCCACTGCTCTCTGTAACAATAACAACAGCACAGAGTCACTCAAAAGTTTTTTATAACAGTGACAGTACACTCTAAAGCAAAAATTGTCTGACAAAAGAAGCAAACTGACAGCCTAAAGCAATAGAGTGTTCTGCACCTTTCTCTTTCTTCTTCTTTTTCTCTGTCTGTACCGGCGTCTTCTTCCCTTCCTCCTCCTCCTCTTCCTCTTTGCCTTCTTCTTCGTTCTTGTTCTCTTCCTCGCTCTCCTCTTCGCTCTCTGATGCCTCGTCGATCCCTGAACAGAAAAAGAGCTTTACTGAGGCTTGTATTTGTGCATTTGCTTAATATGAGTATTAAGTAAAAATCTGGTAATGAACAGAATCAGTTGGGGAAAAAAAAGGAAAAAAGCTGCCCTTAAAGCAGCACTATAAAAATTTATCAGTTAAAATTGAAGTAGCTCCAAATTCCCAAAACCTACATAGTGCAGCTTTAAAGGGCTGTAGACTTCTCTTTTTAGGTGACAGCACTTGAGTTACACAAAAATTTAACAGCATGCAGGGCAACCCATTTTAAAACAGGTTTTATTATTCAAAAATAGATGGAAGTCAATAAGCTTTGTGTTGGATGAGTAATGGAGGCTAACTCTTCAGAGCTAATGAGCTAACAGAGCTCTGGATGGTGATGAGGACTTGTCTACTTACAGGTAGACAATATGACAGCATGTCCATAGTTTGTTAGAGAAATATTTTCTCACCGTTTCTGGACCTAGCCAACATCAGCTGGGGTGGTTAGCCTGACTAGCAATAAAGGTGCACACCCTTCTCAGTTACGTCATTAACAACATGTCCCTGGCAGTGTGCTCGTGTTAAGGCACTCGTGTTTTGTAGCAGTAAAGTGTAACAAAATGTACTTAGTCAAAAACATGACTGAACTTGCCACACTTTAAAGTCCAGTTAAAACATAAAAATCAGTGTTTCACTGAACGGTGTGTACATATTCTCCATTTTTCCGCAATAAAACAAAATAGATTTCAGTATTCGAATACTGGCACCTCATATGGTTAACCGAGTACTCAAGTACCGGTGCACAACCCTAGTGCACAAAGCACGATTTTAGCTGATTATCCTGTCCCAGATTTGACAAGGTTGAGGGGTTAGAGTTTAGAGTTTAGGAGCAGCCTCTGTTCAGACAAGGAGGCCACAGAGCTCCAGCAATGGCAAGAATGCTTGTTTGAAAATAACAAAACAGATTTTTTTAGTTCAAAAACAGCAAGTGCAGCAAGTTGCACAGGGTCCAATCTGGCACAAGAACAACACATTATATAATTTTTCACAGCAGGATTTGGGGATCAGTAGTGTGTGCAGTGCAGCGATCATGTAGTGTACACTAGGCATAAGGTGTTCATGTTTAAATTCAAGATCTAGTTCACATATTAATCTCTGACCTTTAGGAACATCGTCTCCTTTGTTGGGCTTCGCCTTCTCTGGCTCCTCTTCTTCAGAACTTCAACAAAAGCAGAATCAAGAGGATAAAGTTAAAGTATGAGAAGTAAAGAATCTGAGATACTGTAGGTTTAGATATAAAGACGAGTGATTCTCAAATCAAGCTCTACAAATGGAAAAGGTTTGTTTCAAGAGGAGGAAAAAGGCAGCAGTCGAATATTCTGATTAACTCAACTTAGCTAATTGTAACAATTTTATTCTGTTACTCGTGTCCTGCTGCCACACGATCCTCAGTGCTGTTACCTGCTCTCATCTGACATGTAGTCCACTTCCAGACCTTCAAAGTCCCCGTCATCGCTGTCTTCCAGTCCCTCCTGATCACTGCCCTTCCTCTTCTTCTTCTTTTTAGCCTTGGCCTTCGAACTTGTGTCCTTTTTGCTCTTTGCCTTGCTTTCTCCATCTGCAAAGATGACAATGAAACAAAGACATCAGAGTGAGACCACCACTGTAAACTAAGCCTGTTTCCAATAAGGATTTTCTGACCTGCTTTTCAGTAAATGTGTATGGATATTGGTTCGGAATAAAATATGTGCAATCTTCCCCACCGAAAAGTTCATTGCCCAGAAGTCAATGTTACAGAACACTCAATAAAAATAGCAACACGCCACATAGCCGTATCTAGTAGCCCATTCTGTTATCCTATTAGAGTGGGGCGGCCTGGAACATGACCACTATTACTGACGGGGCTCTGTAAGGAAATTACAGAAGACCATTCACTCCATAATTATTACATTCAGACTGTAAATACTACATAAGCAGCAGATTCATACTGAATTAAAATCACTCCGGAGTGATCACTGCCAGACTGTAGAAATTACACATTAGCGTTGCAGTACTCGAATCCGCTCTGAGTCTTAACATCATTCGGACAGAATAAAACAATTTTCCATGCATGTTTAAATAAAATCATTTACTGCTGGTTGTTGCAGTTCATTGGTTTCAAAATTCAAAACTGCCCTAAGGGGACATTGGAGTATTATTACTTCTATGTTTTAATAATAAATATGGATGTATCCAGTTGTGGTTACATTCAGTAGACATTAGGTGGTGATTCTGAATAAGTTTAAGAGAAATGGAAGATGTCTCTTCAGTCTGTGAGGAGATGAAACCCCTGAGCGGAAAGCGTTTTGCGTTCTCCACTTCAATAAGAGTGAATCTGTCATAACCGTGCAACGTGATTTTTGTCGGCAGTGAACCTACAACAGCTCAGAGTGTTCATCGTTGGTTCCATAACACTGGATGATCTCCGAAATCGCACTGAAAGAGCCATGAGTACAGTTACACCCGACATGCTCAACTGAGTATGGGTTGAATTTGACTATGGTGTTGATGGAGGAGGTTCATATTGTGTGCTTGTAAAATTACATAATAAACTTCACACTCATTTAAGCATTTACACTTTACTGCATTGTTCTGTAATGATTTACAAGTGAAATAAATCATGTTGAAGTGAAATGAATCTTGAATCACCCCGTATTTAATTTTACATGGCAAACAATATTATAAAATATAATTAAATGTATTAATATATACCACATTTCTCTCTTATATCAGTACTGTACCCGTTTCAACACTCCAGGTTTTGGTCTTCACTCAGACACTACTGCACACACTGAAGATTCATACTAGGTTTCAACACTAAATCGCTTAAATTAAAAGGAACACCCCATGTAAAATTAATCCGGTTCCAACAGGGCTTTAGTTGACCAAGAATGCTATGACCAATAGGATTCCCCCCCCTCTTTTTTCACCTTCGCCTCCACTGCTGTCACTCTCATCAGTGCTCATCTCCAGATCATCCTCCAGATCATGGATACGCAGATCTCCCCCTTTGCCGCCTTTCTTTTTCTTTTTCTTCCCGCCCTTTTCTCCTGCCCCCTCCTCCTCCTCTTCTCCATGCTCCTGCTCCCTTAGACGCCGCTGGAGCATGATGCTGAAGTGGTTCACTACTTTATTTCTCCTAAACACGAGAGGTGAAAGCATTAGATTTAGTGTTGGGCATCATTCACAATCATTTTACAATAATTTATAGCTGTGCTTATTATTTTAGACACAACATTGTATAAAAGTCTTCAAAATATAAACAAGTAGCAAAATATTGACAAATACCCAATAATTTTATACATTTACCTGCCAGCAGGTTGCTTTATTCCCAGAAACATTGCTTTCAAACTTCGGAACAGTAGCATATATATACCTGATGTACTCACCTGCCCCACTCCTCCTCGGCCTCTTCAGCCGTGAGGGTGCGGTGTTTAGCCACTGGCGTGAAGTTGTACCAGCCATGCACAGGAAAGGCCTCGAAAGCTCCGTCAGCACACTGAGTAAAGATGTAGTAGGAGGCATTCTCTGTCACACCTCCTTTTTTCAGGCCCTTAAACCTAAATATCGCATGACAGAGTTAGGAAAGATTGGTGGATTAAAAAAAACAAAAAAACAAACAAACAACACCCATATTAAAACTTCAAGTGTAATTTAAAAGGGACAGTATCCTACATTTCTCTTCTCATTTTTTCTTTTTCTAAAGCTTGTGCATTAGGGCAATATGTGGGTAAAAACAGAAGAACAACTGTTCCTCAGGTGACTGACTGTGTCAACGCAAGACGTGATCAGACTGTCAGCAACAACAGACCATCGATGGCTACATACAAAGGTATATTACAATAGGGCTGCAGGGCGTAAACCCCTCATCACAAAGATGAGAGCTCAGTGGCTCTGGTCTGCAGAAGTGTGGAAAACAGTGATACAGCCAGGAGAGTCATCCCTCACAATGTTCTCCATAAACAGGACAGTGCATGTGCAGCTTATACCAAAAAAGCAGTACAGGCCTGAATGTTTAACCTTACGACATATTTCTGGGATGGTTTGGGTTCACTTTCCCTCTTAAAGAATACCAAAGCCATTTCGACTAATCACTTTCATCTTAGGATGAAACATTTCTACCCTGGTGGTAGTGGTCTCTTCCAGGATGCCCCCATCCAGAGAGCATGGGGTCACTACACGGTTCGATTAGTACGAAAATTATGTAACTAATCTACTCTTTGTTGGACTCTAAGGTGCACCGAAGCCCTCTGGTGGCTCATGGTGACCTCACTAAGACACTTTATGTTGACTTTTAATGGATTAATTCACTTTTAGTTGAAAATTACATTATTTGGATGACTACGAAAATCCTTAGCAATGTTTCATAAGTACCTTCTCCCAGCCTTGCCGTTGACTTTCAGGATCCATGGCTGGTCTTCAACCTTGAACTCCTTGGTGATGATGCCATACTTCTTCCTACGCGCCTCCTCTCTCTGTTTCTTTCCAAACTCGCTGCCAGCGCCTGCCTCAGGGGTTTCCTCCTCGCCGTACATTCGCCGGTTACTCATGTCTCGCTCCATCCGTGCCTCACCATGGCACAAAAGAACAGCATAAGTACAGCGGATGGACACAGATGAAAAACAGAAAGGAAGCACGAAAAAACAAACAACAACAACAACAACAACGCTGAAAAGAAAAATACAGGCAATCAGGAAGAGCATATAGTAGTGCGAATTTCACAGAAAACAAAAATTTCCTTACTCTTTTTTGCTAATATCACTCTGTGAGAAAAGGGCCGAAATAAAAATAAGGCGTTAAATAAATTGTTGGTACACCAAGAGGCAACGACTGCCATAGCTAAACAGTACCTAAAGATGGACGAGCTCGGGAAGGTGTGGCAATCGCTATCACCACAACGGAAACATTCTTATTAATGTTTCGTTTTTAATAATATCTCTGTTTCCAAAGCAACATGTGACTGTTTTTGGTACTAAATCATGCTTGTGGCCAGTAAAAATTTGTTAAGTCTGTCTGCCCCATTTACATTCATAGTTCTAAAAGCACAGTAACAAAAACAGGGATTAAAAGATGTTGGAACTTGGTCATGTTAAAATTCATTTGGACTGTTTTTGGTACACAAACCCATTTCAACATAAAAAGTAAACTTTAAGGAAAATGCAAAAAAATAGACACTTTAACAAGGGGTGCCCAATCTTGGAAAGTCCAGATGCAACACACCTGGCCCTAAGATTGAGAGGCCCCTAAAGGCCTCCATTAACTGTATCAGATGTGTTTGATTAGGGTTGGAGCTAAACTGCAGAGTGGTACATCTCCAGGACCAGGACTGGGCACCCCTGCTTCAAACCAAGCCTGCTTACCTGCGTCCATGTGGAACAGCTGACTTTATCACCTGCGTTGAAAGCCATTATGCTGTACCTCTTACTAGTATTCCTGTTGGACAGAAAGAGGGAACAGTCTCTCTCTGAACTGGATGCAAACTTAATCATCTTTACATTGGATTTCGATTTGTCTTTAAGCTTTTACATCTACCGGTCAACATCCAGCTTGAAAGCTGTTGTAAGACACATTATAATACCAGGTTTGGGGTCTTAGGGATACACTTACTTGGGAACTCTGACAATGTACTCCGTTCCAGAGGAACTGCTGTTCCCCTAAAACACAAGTGTGAAGACAAATTAAATTCACTGATTGAACTGAATTTAATGTGTCAGTGACTGCTGTTTATTAAGTAAACAGGCAGACAGAATCATAATGAATTATATCAGTCCTGTCAGCTCAGAGTACCAACGTACAAGAGAGAAACTGAAAGAAATGCACAAAAATCATACCACGTTGAAAAAAAGCAAAAAAAAAAAAACCTGAGCTTTTTGCAGGTCTTAAATGTGAATCCCACCAATTTTTCAAAACTTCAGTGGTTGAGATATAAACAAAGTCATTCAGAATGGTTTGCTGTGAAATGGTTCATTTGCAGAGAAACTTACCAACTCAGATTTCTTTAGAGTGGTGGTGACAGAAACGAGGGGTCCAGATGTCGACAACACAAGTACAGCCATTTTATTTACCATCCAAACCCCCCGGTGAACCTACATGTGTCTCCTGAGCTTATCTTGTTTAATGTAATGCTGAAGATGGTAAAATAATAATACATCTGAAGAAAGAAACCCAAAAGGTTTTCTTTGGGTTACTTGTTTGACTGAGAACACCCTTAATGTACCCCTTCACTAAGAATGAATTAAAATAAATTAATTAAAATACATTTTAGACCCAAACTTTATCACAAAACTATCATAAAACAATGTCTCAGACATCAGGCAGCGTATTCACAACCACTTCACATAACGTTTTGAGAGGGAGCTTCTAGAGATTTTATTTACTGGTATTTCAGTACCAATATATGCACATTTCTATTCAGTACTGTCATTATATTCTGTTACCTGTGCCTCCTTGTACAATCATTTTATTGCACTGCCTTTTTCATCTCAGGTTATAGATCTTATTCCAGATTTTTGGATATTTCTATTTGTATACATGCCTGTAGATTTTTTTTTATATTTATTCTTCCTTTTATATTGTTTCACCCTTACTATTATTACTGTACTGTGTTGTGTGACTGCTATTGGCTGCTAAATTTCCTTCAGGATCAATAAGGTATCTATCTATCTATCTATCTATCTATCTATCTAAATTCTTCAGACATCTGGTTCCTATCGCCACCACTGTGGACAATTCTGACTCGGAAAGTTCCTCTAGTACAAAGCATGTGACACCAAACCACTCTGAAAGACTTTCTTGACGTGTTAATCTTTTCATTTTGCAAAAATTTTGAAAAATCTATTAAGTTCCCCTTAAATAATTATAAATTCCACATTACCAGTGAAGTCATAACTGTAGACCTTCTGCCGTCCTTCAGTCAACAGAAAGTCCAGTCAGGAATCTACAGTTAAGGAAAGAAGAGTTAGGAGTTGAGCATTTAGTATGTTTGTGATTCACTTAAATTAATTAGACCTGATTAGAGGTGGGTAATCCAGGTCCAAAAAGTAAAAACCCTGCCCAGGATTTTGTTCCAACTGCCTGAACACCACTGCTGCTGGTTTGAGCTAATCAGACAAGTCAAGCAGTTGGAACAAAATCCTGGGGAGGGCTTTACCTTTTTGGACCTGGATTACCCACCGCTAGATCTGATAGTGAAGGACACCAGTTAGCGCTGTTTTTCTGAAGGGCCAAAGAGACTGAAGTTGGCTTCCTAATCTACTTTTTCCCGTTCCACCTTAAATGGTGCAGCAGTTACATTCTGGCGCCTCAGGCACTATTTAAGGTGGAACGGGAAAATTCGAACATTAAGCTAGCGAATAAGAAGCTAAATTCAGCTTCTCTATTACACACGAGTCCGAGGCAGCCTTAGCAGATGAGACACCAGCGCACATCGTATATATATTAATAATTTGAGCTATATAACTTCATACACAGAAACCAACAGGACGCATTTAATGGTTACAGCTCACCCACAAAACGCTTTATCCTGCTAGCTAACTCGGCAATCGGCTAAACGACGCTACCTACTCACGAAAAAACAAACAGGAGGCTGAGATTCAACAAAATAACATAAAATCAAGTCACAAAAACGGTCATTTAAAACTAAACTAAACTACACGAGAGAAAACACACAACACAAACCGTGTTAGCGCTCTTTCCTCGGCTGCCGGTGGGTTGAGAGTGATGCACTGCCGCCTAGTGGTCTGGAGCCTCTCAACGGAGACCTGCATTACCACAAATTTCTTCTTATCGTTGTTTTTTTTTAAACGCAGCTTTAAGATTAAAGTCTTGTTTTTGTATTAATCGTTTTGAATGTATCAGTGTGTCTGGATTCAATTTATTCGACTTTATTGTATTTTATTACTTTATTACTTTACACTGACGCATGACCAATTAATATATTGAGGCAAGGAGTTAAGTTTCTCATAACCCGTGGCCTCAATATATTAACTTGTGGCTTCAATATAGTAAATTGTGGCCTTAATATAGTAATTTGTTGCCTCAGTATAGTAATTTGTGGCTTCAATAGTAATTCACGACCACAGTGTATTTTGTGGCCCCAATATAATAGTTTATGGCCTCAACACAGTAATTTGTAGCCTCAATATAGCAAATTATGGCCTTAGCATAGTAATTTGTAACTTCAATATTATAATTTGTGGCATCAATACAGTGAATTGTGGCCTCAATATAGTAGATTATGGCCTCAGAATAGTAATTTGTGGGCTCAATATAGTAATTTGTGGCTACAATAGTAATTCACGACCACAGTGTAATTTATGTCCTCAATATAATAAATTGTGGCCTCAATAAAGTAAATTGTGGCCTAAATATAGTAATTTGTGGCCTCAATATAGTAAATTGTGGCCTCAATATATTAATTTGTTTCCATGCCTTATTAACAAATAATCACCATGTCATGGTAGGGGCTCTGTACTCTATCACCTGTCTGTCTAGCACTTTCCCAGCTAGTAAAATCATCTGGCCCGGTTCCTACTTTACTGGTGGCACAGTTGGCAGAGTGTCGGTTGTGGACAAAAACAATATGGTCTTTGATACTTTGTCAAAATGTCTTACTGTGGCACATATTTATAGGTAGCTACATACATAAAACTGTAGGTAGGATAAATCATAAATCACCTTATCAGGGGTAATTAGTCATATTAAACTGGACAACACAATAGATTGTACAAAAGACTTGAAATAAAGCTGAATTACAATTAAAAACACAAGTTACTACCCTATAGTAATGATATGAACATATTCCCTGGATGGGTAGTACAAGTTGTTGGACTATCGGCCCGGTTCTGCCACAGCTCGGTTTGGTTCTTCAAGGGTTTTTCAGTAAAGGCATCAGTTTTATTTAGAACCATGCATTGTATATAGAACCATTTCATGCTTAAATGGTTCTTTGCATTGTGAAATGGCCTGTAATAATTTAATAAAATGCAATTATTATTTGATTATATATGTAATAATTACAATTTGAACATTTAATAATTACAGTTTTACTTGCTAAAATAATAATAATCCCTACTTGTGTTAAAGTCAAATATCATGTTTTTATTTGTGCTGATAACATTTGTACTGGTTCAAAAGTAATTTCTCAAATAAAAATTGTGGATGAAAAGCTTAAAGCATTGCTCAATGCGCCTCCGCCACCAGATGGCGCAGTAAGCACGTTTTTAAAATATATCGGTTGGCATTGCTCTGGCAGTGGCAGGGCGCCCCCTTGTGGTCAGGAAAGAACGGAGAAAAAAATCTAGGACATTAAGTTTCTCATAACTCGTGACCTCAATATGTCAACTTGTGTCCTCAATATAGTAAATTATGGCCTCAGTATAGTAATTTGTTGTCTCAATATAATAATTTGTGGCCTCAATATAGTAAATTGTAGCCTCAATATAGTAATTTGTGGCCTCAGTATAGTAATTTGTGGCCTAAATATAATAATATGTGGCCTCAGTATAGTAATTTGTGGCCTCAATATAGTAATTTGTGGGTTCAATATAGTAATTTGTAGCCTAAATATAGTAATTTGTGGCCTCAATATAATCATTTGTTTTCAAAATACAGTAATTTGGGGCCTAAATATAGTAATTTTTGGCCAAAATATAGTAATTTGTGGGTTCAATATAGTAATTTTTAGCCTTAAATTGAAATTTGTCATTTTTGGCCTAAATATAGTAATTTGTGGCCTCAATATTATAATTTGTGGCGTTAATACAGTGCACTGTGGCCTTCCATAGCAACGGAGCGAAGAAAGCGCGGGAACGCCACTGGAAAGAAACTCGATGTCAAAGTCTTCACAGCTTTTCTGAGGTAAAGATTATTTTTAACTTATTGCTATTTTATTTATCGATAGTCTATTGATATTTGGATGAACTAACAAACTGTGTATGGAAACTGGGAAAGCGTCACGTGAACTGGTAAGTTTCTCCATCTAAAATACTGCATGTAATGTTAGCTAACTTAGCTAAAAGGCTAACAGCTGAGCCGTTACACTCATTACAACTCTGTACTGGTGGTCGGTGTAAGATGACAAGCTAACCTGCTAATGTGAGCTGTTTTCTGCATGCTGAGCTAAAAGACGCTGGATCTCATTTGGGCTTTTAGAGGTAACGTTAACCCCTGAGTTAATACAAGCTTTTCTGACTAACTCAGCCAACATTACCTCAAAGTCTGAAGAGTGAAGGACAAATGTTTGTATGAAGAGTGAGATAACCTGAGGACTGTGTTCTGTTCAGCACTCAGTGCAGTTTTATAGATATTTCTAGTACTTATAAAGCCCACACACTCAAAAAGGTGGTTCTTCAAGGGTTCTTTAGTAAAGGCAATGGTTTTATTTAGAACCGTGCGTTGTATATAGAACTATTTCATGCTTAAATGGTTCTTTACATTGTTAAATGGCCTCTAATAATGTAATATTATATAATTGTTATTTGATTATATATGTAATAATTGCAACTTGAACATTAATAATTGCAGTTTTACTTGCTAAAATAATAATAATCCCTACTTGTGTTAAAGTCAAATATCATGTTTTTATTTGTGCTGATAACATTTGTACTGGTTCAAAAGTAATTTCTCAAATAAAAATTGTGGATGAAAAGCTTAAAGCATTGCTCAATGCGCCTCCGCCACCAGATGGCGCAGTAAGCACGTTTTTAAAATATATCGGTTGGCATTGCTCTGGCAGTGGCAGGGCGCCCCCTTGCGGTCAGGAAAGAACAGAGAAAAAATCTAGGACATTAAGTTTCTCATATCTCATGACCTCAATATGTCAACTTGTGTCCTCTAAATAGTAAATTATAGCCTCAGTATAGTAATTTGTTGCCTGAATATAATAATTTGTGGCCTCAGTATAGTAAATTGTGGCCTCAATATAATAATTTGTGGCCTAAATATAGTAATTTGTGGGCTCAGTATAGTAATTTGTGGGTTCAATATAATAATTTGTGGGCTCAATATAGTAATTTGTGGCCTCAGTATAGTAATTTGTGGGTTCAGTATAGTAATTTGTAGCCTAAATATAGTGATTTTTGACCCAGATATAGTAATTTTTGGGTTCAATATAGTAATTTGTAGCCTAAATATAGTCATTTGTGGCCTCAGTATAGTAAATTGTGGCCTCAATATAGAAATTTTTAGCCTTAATATAGTAATTTGTAGCCTAAATATAATAATTTGTGGGTTCAATATAGTAATTTGTAGCCTTAATATTATAATTATTGCGTAAATATAGTAATTTGTGGCCTCAATATAGTAATTTGTAGCCTTAATATTGTAATTTGTTGCCTCAATATAGAAAATTATGGCCTCACTATAGTAATTTGTGGCCTAAATATAGTAATTTGTGGGCTCAATATAGTCATTTGTGGCCTAAACATAGTAATTTGTGGCCTAAATATAGTAAATTGTGGCCTTAATATAGTAAGTAGTAATTAAATTGGTATAAAATATTTATACTGTTTTGTCTTGCTGTTTCTCCTGTATGTAGTTATTAATAGTGTGTTAGGATTTATTAAATATATTATGTCTGACCAAAAATGATTTTCATACTTGCACTTAAAACAGTATAATTGGGGTAACCAACCAAAGAAATATAACATATATGTGTATGTATTTACCTTGTTTGCATCAGTGAGTGATGTCAACAATAATTCATTACAATACAAATACTTTATTAATACACAATACACAAGATTTCTGAGATAGACAAACATTTGTTTGAATTTTTTGCAGTTAAGGAAATGAGAGCAACTTGCATGTTCACAGTAAATGCTTTTAACAATGCACTTGATGATAATACTTACTTAAAATATAAGTAAAACAATAATAATGTAATAATACTCTAATTTTGTTAGATTTAATTACTATAGATAACAGAATAAAAAGCAACACATCAGTGTATTTAGTTTTGAACACTGCTTTTATTTGAAGAACAATAATGATAAAAAATGATAAAAACAGTCAGCAAAAGGTAACAGGCATGAGAGTGAACAAAGCACGCTAAGCCATGGAGAGAAACCTCCATTTACAGCATTTAGTGGCGAGAGCATTGATTTCCTTTCCTTTTTCTTTTTTTTTTACATTTCTTCTGCCATTTATTATTTCTTACTGAACAGAGCTTCGGAGAACCTTCTTCACAGCAGTAAGATGTTCCTGTATTTCCTAGTTCAAGTACAAACTCTAGTACAAACTGCATCACTCAACCTTCACTCTGACCAGAGTAACTGAGAATCCGTAAATCAGAGCGATGAGGAAGAGTGCGATGAAGGCACACGCCATGTTCCAGGTTTCCGCAGTCATGTCCTCTGTGGTGGCTTCAGACATGTTCTCGTCGAAGTATATACTCTGCTCAATAATTTCTGTAGGAAAAATGAAAGGAAAAATGCAATTTGTTTATTATTGTACTTCAGCCTAGAGCGACCCTTTCTTTATGGGCCCATATGCTACAATGCTACAGTATGGACCCCTTATGACATTTCTTTAGCAGAAACAGTCAGAATTTATTTTTGTATGACCATTTTCAGTGTTTCCTCTAGGTTTTTTTTGACAAAAAAATTTTGGCTGCTTAAGTTGACACTGGTGTTCGCTCGATTCCTCAGCCCGCTGAGGGCTCATCTGTCACCCTTCGCTTAGGCTGATAAAGTAATGGAACAGCCCTTAAGATGGTGCTGTGGACTCCCCTGAGTGGACGAGGACTTGTTAAAACCGATATTAAACAGGAGAAAGAAAGACCGGGTAGGGGGCTGTCATGCGTCTTCTCTTCGTGTATCCCTCATTTCAAATTAAAAGCCCTCTACAGAGCTTTGTTACTGTGACTTAATGACATTTAATAAAATTCTGAAGTAGTGGGCCGCCGCCGCAAGGTATATATGTATAGTGGAAACACTAATTTTCCATTCTCTCTTTGTCTTTTATAATTAAACAGGCTGTTTTTGCTCCTGTGCTTTAAAGGAATAGTTTGGCAAAAAATCTAATTAACATGATTACCCCAGATGCAGTCGATCTGCCCAGACATATATTATATTTTTAATGTCTGCTTCTCTTGTTTACAGTGGGAAACGCTATGCTAACATTTAAAAGGGAAATTCTGCTGATTATTCAAAAATTCTGCATAATTAAATGCTCAAGATGTAAACAAAGTCATTCAGAGTGATTTTATGTGAAATGGTTTGTTGTAGAAAAACCTGATGATTTCTTTACAGCAGTAATGATAGGAACCAAGAGTCACAATGACTACCACACAAATATTGCCATTTTATTAACCATCCACAACCACCATTGAATCTACACATGTCTTCTGAGTTCTTAAATGTTATGTTGATAATAATGAAATATTTGTAATCTGAAAAATTCTTTGGGGACTATTTTGCCTCACAGCATCCTCAATAACTCCACTCTCAATACTATCGTAAAACAGTGCCTCAGGCATCACGCAATGCATTTACCATTTCATGTAATAACTTTCTGTGACAGAGCTTTTAGAAGCATTAAACTCTTCAGACGTCTGGTTCCTATCACCATAACTGTGAACAATTCTGACTCTGTAAGCTTCTCTAGATCGGAGCATTTCACATCATTCTGAATGACTTTGTTTACATCCTAACCATTTAATTATGCAGACATTTAGACTTCAGGGATGCCCAATTTAAAAAGCAGTCCAGGCTGAAACACTCCTTATAACTTCAGTGTGAGTGGGCGGAGCTCAATTGTTGTAGACTGAATAAGCCAATTTCTGTTTTTTGTGACATCATGAAAATGATGAAATCAAAAAGGGCTGTTTTTGGAACGTAGTTTCTATAAACGGACCAGGGAGCAGGCTGTATGTTTTACAACTTTAACAGTGTTTACACACTATAGTAAACTCTTTTAGAGCAGCATTATTATTTGCAATATTGGCCCTTTAAATGAGGCTCAACTCTTTAAACAGATGTAAAACTGATGGAAATACTTACCTGCTTTGGAGATGTTGTGATTAATAGTGCCAGTGATATGCATCACCTGGCAGGTATATACAGATCCAGGTGGCCATTCAGAAGGCAGGACTTGCAGCTGGCTTTTAACATTGAATTTCCCATCAGGCCCTTTGGCAGGGCTGGTGATGTTGTGCTTACGTGCGATGGTCACACCATCCAGCAGCCAGGTGATGCTAATAGCAGACGGGCTGTATTCGTACGCCAGACACACCAGCTCATCCCGAGCCTGCAGTATCTTCACAGAGGGTTTCGTTTTAGTCACTGAGGCTAGATAATAAAGGCAGAGAGGAGCAATCAGAAAAAGAGAAAATTTATTCATAGGGATACTATAAAAATGCCTAACATGGATTTTGAATCATATTAGAACTGATCATAATTGATCATAATGATATTCAATAAATATATGTGGATGTACTTATTTTACATGCACATTGGTATAAAAAGGCTGCAACCATTCCATGTTCCAGACATTTTTTACTGTGCTTTTGTTTTATACTATTGAGACCGCCAAAAAATAAAACAATACAAAACACAGTTAGTGCAGAAACATTTCATCTACTGCAATAATGCTGCATTTAAATATATTATTTTAGGAAAATAATCACATCATTCTACAGTGTTAAAAACTAAGAAGTGTTGTTTATTTCATTTATTTGCTAATATTTTCCAGTTGTCATTATTTTAACACTGTAGAGTTTGGTCAGTAGGGGGAGCAGTGCACTCACTCAGGCTCTACCTAGGAGCACAGCAATTGACTTAGAGCTGCTGAATGCTGTTTTATTGGCTTCCTACAAAAGGGTCAGTATGAATTAGGGCCTGCTTACTGTAAAACATATGTACATAAGATACTGGTAGGCTGGTGCTTGATTTTACACCTCAAAGCTGATTCATTGTTTGTGCTAAAATCTCCGCTTGTTTCCACTTTGTATGAAAGCCTCATGAGTCAGATGTAAAGGAGTTTGCATGGCTTGAAAGGCAGTCAAATCTGTCCTCTTTTTTGAGTAACATTGATGAATAAGGGACACTTTGTTTTCACCCCAATAAAAATATGTTTTTACCTACATTTAGCCCAGAATTTCTCAGTGTTGTTCCTAGATCCTAGTGCTATGGATGCTACTTGAGCTAAAAGTTTGGACATAGCCACAGCAACCAAAAGAGGCGGGTCTTGTCAGAATGTTTGCAAATGGTCAATTTTGGTAAGGTTTGAAATGTCACGGTACGTTGAACACATTTTCTTATTTAATAGTCCTGAACCAAATCAAATAGTGGCTGCATTAAGTTGTTTCCTGAAGAATCGTGATCAAATCAAATTGTTTTAGCGTCAGAGATTTACACCCCTGGCTGGGATGCTTCCACGTTACCCACCATACAAGTTGTCCAGTGTGCTGACGATTGGGCTTGAGGATGACTGATGGTTGACTACGCAGGAAAATGTGCCATGTTCGTGTCCTGATGCTAGTAATGTCAGTGCGCTGTGCATGGAGAAATCTCGGCCAGCAGAATGAGGGCCCACTGGACTGTTAGTGAAGCGAGACACATCCAGCCTCTTCTGATCCAGCTCCCAGTGGACGGAGATATCAGCAGGATAGAACCCAGTGATCAGGCAGAGAAGAGTGGAGTTATGGGAAGCAGACAGGTCACTGTCACTGGGGCTGAGAATTCGGACAGTGGGGCGTTTGGGTTCTGTGTGTACAAATCAAATAGAAGAGCTTTGAATGAAGAAGTAAATATTTTAATTAGTCAGCTGTAGGTCTATAGCTTAAGACTTTTAATAACATGAAAAACTGAAATTATTGCAAGATTACATGAGAAATATTCCAGCTTTTTTCAACCTAATCTAGATCTGCACTTGGTTGGTTATCACTAGGTGTTTCATGACTATTAATTTTTTACTATCCTACTACTTATTAGAAAAAAACTTTTTTTTAGTTGTCCTCATTATCATGTTTTTAAAAACTGAGTGTTCTGGACATCTGTGAATAGTATTTCCTTAGTAGCTTCCTAAAAGGGGCCGGTTCCAGCAGCAGATGCTGCAGTTTGAGGTGTGAGATGTGCCCTGCAAAAGAGGTTTTGTGGTAGTTCAGTAAATTTCAGTCTTAGGTACTCTGTGCACCAAAATACAGAGACTGTCTGATGTAATTTGTAGGCTAAAAATCACCACAGCTTTCAAGAAACTCACCCCTCACTAAGAATTTAAACTGGCTCTGTCCGTCTGTATGATTGGAAACAAACAATTGTTTATAAGGTGAAATGCTAGTGGCAGGCAGTTGCATATCCTTATGACCTTTTAAAGCGAGATATAGGCTTATTGCTGAACATTCTGTAACTGGATGTTTTGCATGTCAGTCAAATGGCCCTTTGCTATGACGGAGAGCGGTTTACAAAATCTCTCTCGCTTGTGAGCCTGTATTTAGGTGCAGTCCTAAACAGCTTGCAGTGGAATTGGTTTCACTTTGTGTAGTATTTCCACACTAATAAAGTACTTTGGGCTTTGTGTTTAGCGGAAAAACTGATTTCTATTTTCTCGTCCAGCCACTTCACTGCAGTTTTTACCACCGCTGTATTTCAGGCACTGTTGTCAAGTAGTTGACTGCTGATCACAGTGCCGACTACTGGATTTATTAGTTGACTAGTCAACTAGTCCAACCCTTTGCCAGCACGGATAATAAATACATCTCTGTACTTAAAAAAAGAACAGAAAACTTGTTAACTTGAAACGAAGCCAGTAGGCAGTTCCCGAATTTTGTGAATAAATGGTTTGAAATTCGTCACTATATAAGGCGAACCTGAAATTCCAGCTGTTTTAACAGTACAGATGTTATTCCAGGACAGAATATTTTGTCTTTCACAATGATCACTCCTTCAGATCAGGCAATCATAGTGTCATAAATTTGTGCTGTGTCTTGGTCGAGAGGCTTGTCACCGACTGATCACCGCTCATGTTCTTGTGCGAGTTCATAAGTCGTTCGGGAGGCGGGTCAATAAAATATCAATCAGCAAAAAAATTCTGACATGCGAGACTTTTCATTGGGGCATCGTAGGGCGTAACAGAGTCCACATTTCTGTTCTTCGATTATGTCACACTTCAAGGCCCGTTCATTGTTCACAACGCTTGTATTCAAATAATGGGAAATTGCTGTTCATTTTCTAAAGCAAAAGACATGATACTAGTTCAACTTAACGGATGCTGACTACTATATTTCATAATTGACTAGAAGGGGCTTGTAGCCTCTAAAATTTCATACATGTTAAATATTTTTTAACTTATGTTTCCAAAATAAGCAAAAACATAAAATGATTCTAAATAAAAAAAATCTTAATAAAAAAACTAAACAATAACTGCGGTGTTCTCTGACGTGGCTGCATAAGTGACACCTCACTTGCTTCTGGCTAAATCCATTCCACTGTTGCTGGAGAATATATGGCTAAAGACAGACTTCTTTTGTTTATTCAGTCTCTTTTCTTTATTATTAACCCTTTCATTATCATTGAATATGTGACATGTCACTGTAAAGTGAGGAAAATGGATTTGCTGCCCTGAGGCAACGTTATGCCGTTGAGGGTTTTCTAGTCTTTTCTAAGTTCAGAGAAAGGTTATGAAATGGTTGCTTGTGGTGATCAACTACATGCTACACATACAGATTAGATTACTTTAAGGTCCTATTTGATGTGAGCACTTGCCTCTGACTTTGACGATGTTGTGATCCTGTGTTTTGCTGGAGCACCGATGGCTTACTTCACAGGAGACCTCAGCGTATGCATTCCATCTTGAGGCTGGTAACTTTAAAATACTCTGGACACTCTGGGTTCCATTAGCATGGTCTTTAGGGGGTTCTGTGGTTATATCTTGAGACTGTATGACCTTGTCTATTTTCCAAGTAATAGAAAAGTCCTTGACCCTGTGGCCAGTAACCAGACAAGTCAGAGGCACATCAGCTGACCTCATGTCACTGAGGGAAGGACCCAACAGGTATACCTGCGCCAACTGAGCGAAAGGTGCAGTCACTGTGAGACGAAGAGATAATATTAGAGTAAAGAAGTACATGTATTTGAACGTTCACACCAGGAAGCGTACAATATATAAAAGCATATTAAAGGAATATCAAATAATTTATGGTTCCCCACTTACCCTCTATGTAGTTGATTAGGCAAGACATATTTGGAGTCCTATTTTGCTTCATTAGTTTACAACTGGAGCTGCAAAGCTAACATCACCAACAAACAATCTGGGCTTTTTGGGTAACTGAATTCTAACAAACACTAGAACTAAGTTACCCAAAAAGCCCAAATAATTTTCATAAAAGTACATCGACAAAACTTCTCCCAACCCATTCAAACCTCATCCATATCTTTAGTAAGACCCCGTTGTCTAAACTGGGTGCTCATAGCTTTCAGTTACGCAAGGCTTTGTTAGCTTTTATGGTTTACAGTAAGTCATACTGTGTCCTCAACCACATTGACAAGTTTGTGTGATAATTAAGACCTGGATGCAGTTTGAGTGGGTTGAGAAAAAGTGTCAATGTCTTTTTACAGAAACTATTTTTAAGTTTTAGCGTGTATTAGCAACATTAGCCTTGCAGCTCCAGTTCTAAACTATAGAAGCAAAATTTAGACTCCACAAATGTCTTGGCTGATCGAATACATCCAGGGCAGTGGTCACCAACCCTCATCCTGGAATGTCCTACCTTCCTGCTGAGTCTAGGTCCAACCAAACTTGCTCCAAGTCATTGACTTCTTCAGAAGTCCTTCATTGGCTAGATCAGATCCATTAGAAAGGGGGTTGGCAGTTTGTTAGATGAAGTTTGGACCTAAACTTTGCAGGAAAGGAGACCTCCAGCAGGAGGTTTGGTGACCACTGATTTAAGAAAGTGGACGATTGTGTAAATTTGATTCTAGGAGTGCTGTCGTAGAAGAACCTAAAGAACTTAAAGCAAACTTCCTGAAGCAGTACATGGAACCATTATTCTAAATGAGAACAGTGTGTAGTGTGAACAGTGTGAAGAACCTCCACATAACCTCCACAGAAGGTTTTATACCCATTAAATGTTCTTCCTAGAACTATATATCAAAGACCATCACCATTTAGGAACCTTTATTTTTAAGAGTGTGGGCCTCTTATTAGTCCTTTTATTACCTGCACAAGCACTGATGTTTTCCTTGATTGTTTTCTTAAGATCAGTGACCTGGCAGGTAAATTCCTTCCCTTCGTTCCACTCTTCCAGCGACAAGTCCATCTCACTGAACACTTTCATGCGTCCATCCGCTTGAATCATGGCTTTACTAGGGACATCAGGTCCCTTTCCAGAGTTGGGGAGCCATTTGATCTCTGGTTTAAATCCAGTTCCAGTACACAAGAGTTTCTGTGGTTCTGATTTCCTCACACTGGGAACCAGTGAGAGATCCATAGAAGGGTCACCTGGACAGAAGCTCAAATGTTTAGCATTAAAAGCCAAGAAGGAGATTCTGGCTTAAATATCCTAAATAAAATAGTTTGGTGAAAACATAAATGTACAGTTTCCCTCATTACTCCAAAATATAGTCACCTAAGACATGTTTAATATCTGAAATTTGCTTCTTTATTGCACTAAAATTATGGGGCTAATGTAGGCATTGAGTTATGGAAGCTGTCTTAGTCATAGTCGATTGACTACACTTAGGGTAAAAAAGTACATTTAGGATAAGTGTGTAAAATTAGTTTTTAAAGTATGTTTCCTGTTTGAACAGCATAGAAAATGTGCTGAGACTGAAACATTCCTCACCAAAAATCTTCCCAGTGGGGTCTGATGTCCACTGTTTGGAAGGGCTTTGTTGAACCTTACAGGTGAAGCTGTTGTCTTTTTCGCGATGTTGGGCAGGAACAGTGATGCGTGCGGTCAGAGAGTTTTGGCCTTTTGGCAGATCCACATACTGAACTTGACCTAGTAGAGTTTGATTGGCCTGGAAGGTGACAGAAAGCTCACCAGAGGGAACATTTCTCGCAGAACATTCCAGAACAGCACCATCTCCATTAAGATTGTCCGAAAGAGGTCTCCTGATCTCCACTGTAAGATCTTTCTCTGCAGACTCTGAGGAACGTGAGAACATTTCATTCTCATCATACATTCGAGGGTGAATCTCTGACGTATTCACACAGTATTGAGATTTTTTTGTTTTTGAATTTTATGTTATGAAAGTAGCCTGAGAATTTTACTTTGACTCAAAAATGAGCGTATACTGTATGGAATGATATAATCAATTTTACCATTTCCAGATTCATGCACCTAAACATTTAGATCAATGTATCGATGCATTTTTCACTAAACATGCAGGAGAACTGCAGGCATGAGCCACCTACATTGATGGATACATTTAATAGAGAATTTCCTAAAATGCTTACCTAGACCGTTCACAGTTTTCTCTTCAGGTTTCTCGTCACATGGCTGTTTAACTCTGCATGTTATACTGTGAAGTTGCTCCCATTCTCTTGCTGACAGAGTCAGGTTGCTAACAGTGAGCTCAGTGCTGCTGCTGGGTTGTCGGTCTTTTTGCTCTGCACTGGCTTTTTTCTCCTCGTTTCCATTCAAAACCCATGAAATGATGGAGCTGAGTACAGCTTCAACAACACAAGAAGCTGTTACCACTGAATCTGGCTGTAGGGACGGATCAGAGAGACGAGGTTTCTCCAGGTGTATCAGTGGTTTGGCTGATGGATGAGCTGAAAATCGAAGAGATTTTTAATGTCCAGTCAGAATCTTTGAAGCTTTATGGGGTTTTATTTGCCCCACACAGGGTTTGGAGGGTTACTTTAAAAATGTATTCCAGTACAGATAACATATTACCTATTATAAATTTGAATCTCTAACATAATCCAATGGATTACTGTATTAAAACAATGTATTCGGATTCCTTTCCATCACTTTTGTTTTACTTGTCTTTTTAAAGTCACGTCATTAAATAAAGACAAGAAAAAATAATTTAAAAAAGTTACTTTCATACAAGACATACAGGAAAACTGCACTGTTGTATGAAGCAAAATGACAGATAATAGGTGATTTAATTGCCTGTGCTTTGTGCCAAAAGATCAATCTGGTAGACACTTTATTTTGAGACCCTTCATCAACAATAATTATTAATAGAGGCCATTCTGAAAATGATGACTGACCATCATCTGTGTTCTGCTAAAAGGCCTGTAGTGACTCTTAAGGCTTCATATCGGTGTGTCTTGCTTTGACTTAGACGGTTGCTGTTTGTGATGTTTTTTGACTGTCCCTCAGCTTTCGGCAGCCCACAGTAATAAACATGTTCTTAAAGTTTTAAAAGGCATAAATTTCTCTTGAAAACTAATTTTGTTACCTGTAATAAATGATTTACACATAATAACATTTTTGTACTCATTGTTCGAAACCTGTTGAAGAAAGAATTCATATATGCAAAAAATGAACTTTACTGCTTAGAAGAATGTTTTCACGTTTCGTTATTCTTTTGTTCCACATTATTCTTCTTAGTTAACGTTAATGTTATCTCACTTCAGCACGTTATCAAAAGACAGATTTATAGCTAGTCCAACTGTAGAATTTTATGAAGGAACAAATAAAAATAAGAGTTTATTTTCAGATCGGTTTGCTGCCGTAGAATCAGTCAATGTGTAATACGAGGGTAAGGAACTGATTCAGATGACTTTTGGGAAAACTGCAGCTCTCTGCCAAAGAAATAAACTACTGAAATATCTCTAGTTTTCTGGTAATGAGCATGTTTTTTTGTACCTCTAATTTGATTGCTATTTTTTTTTACTGTAACTGTAATGGAGGAGATCACAGTTACCTTTTTTGTAAACTGATTACGTAATGCTGTTGCTTGTATTCTGTTACTGCCCAACCTCAGGTGAAGTCCAACAGTCATGAAGGAAATGTGATAAATGTTCTGGAATCTTATAGATTGCCTACACACCTAAAGGTACACTCAAGTAAATACATGAATAAGTGAAAAATTGCTTTTCTAAATAAAAACCCTGATTTCCTTTTCTATACTTACTGTAAATGTTAACAAACAGAAATAATCTCATACATTTTCAAGTCTTACCTGCACAAGCACTGGTGCTCTTCGTTGTGGTCCGAAGATCAGTGACCTGGCAGGTAAATTCCTTCCCTTTGTTCCACTCTTCCAGCAACACGTCCATCTCACTGAACACTTTTCATGCGTCCATCCGCTTGAATCATGGCTTTACTAGGGACCACAGGTCCCTTTCCAGAGTTGGGGAGCCATTTGATCTCTGGTTTAAATCCAGTTCCAGTACACAAGAGTTTCTGTGGTTCTGATTTCCCCGCACTGGGAACCAGTAAGAGTTCTACAGAGGGGTCACCTGGACAGAAGCTCAAATGTTTAGCATTAAAAGCCAAGAAGGTGATTCTGGTTTAAATATCTTAAATAAAATAGTTTGGTGAAAAGTTTCCATCATTACTGCATAGTATAGTCACCGAAGACATGTTTAATGTCTGAAATTTGCTTCTTTATTGCACTAAAATTATGGGGCTAATGTAGCCATTGAGTTATGGAAGCTGTCTTAGTCGTAGTAGATTGACTATATTTAGGTTAAGAATAAAAAGTGTGTAAAATTAGTTTTTTTTTTTAAAAAACTATCACTTAAATAAGATCTGAAGCATGTTTTCTGTTTGAACAGCGTAGAAAATGTGCTGAGACTGAAACATTCCTCACCAAAAATCTTCCCAGTGGGGTCTGATGTCCACTGTTTGGAAGGGCTTTGTTGAACCTTACAGGTGAAGCTGTTGTCTTTTTCGCGATGTTGGGCAGGAACAGTGATGCGTGCGGTCAGAGAGTTTTGGCCTTTTGGCAGATCCACATACTGAACTTGACCTAGTAGAGTTTGATTGGCCTGGAAGGTGACAGAAAGCTCACCAGAGGGAACATTTCTCGCAGAACATTCCAGAACAGCACCATCTCCATTAAGAACGTCCCAAAGAGGCCTCCTGATCTCCACTGTAAGATCTTTCTCTGCAGACTCTGAGGAACATGAGAACATTTCATTCTCATCATACATTCGAGGGTGAATCTCTGACGTATTCACACAGTATTGAGATTTTTTTGTTTTTGAATTTTATGTTTGAAAGTAGCTTAAGAATTTTACTTTGACTCAAAAATGAGCGTATACTGTATGGAATGATATTATAATCAATTTTACCATTTCCAGATTCATGCACCTAAACATGTAGATCAATGTATCGATGCATTTTTCACTAAACATGCAGGAGAACTGCAGGCATGAGCCACCTACATTGATGGATACGTTTAATAGAGAATTTCCTAAAATGCTTACCTAGACCGTTCACAGTTTTCTCTTCAGGTTTCTCGTCACATGGCTGTTTAACTCTGCATGTTATACTCTGAAGTTGCTCCCATTCTCTTGCTGACAGAGTCAGGTTGCTAACAGTGAGCTCAGTGCTGCTGGTTTGTCGGTTTTTTTGCTCTGCACTGGCTTTTTTCTCCTCGTTTCCATTCAAAACCCATGAGATGACGGAGCTGAGAGCAGCTTTAACAACACAAGAAGCTGTTACCACTGAATCTGGCTGTAGGGACGGATCAGAGAGACGAGGTTTCTCCAGGTGTATCAGTGGTTTGGCTGATGGATGAGCTGAAAATCGAAGAGATTTTTAATGTCCAGTCAGAATTTTTGAAACTTTATGGGGTTTTATTTGCCCCACACAGGGTTTGGAGGGTTACTTTAAAAATGTATTTCAATACATATTACTCATTACCTATTATAAATTTTAATTTGTAACATAATCCAATGGATTGCTATTTCAAAGTAATATAATCTGATTACTTTCCATTACCTTTTTATCACTTGTCTTTTTAAAGTCACATAATTAAATAAAAACAAGAAAAAATTATTTCAACAAGATTACTTTAAATTAACACAAGACACTCAGAACAACCACTGTTTTATGGAGCAAAATGACCAATAAATGTTCTGGAATCTTATAGATTGCCTACACACCTGAAGGTACACTCAAGTAAATACATGAATAAGTGAAAAATTGCTTTTCTAAATAAAATCCCTGATTTCCTTTTCTATACTTACTGTAAATGTTAACAAACAGAAATAATCTCATACATTTTCAAGTCTTACCTGCACAAGCACTGGTGCTCTTCGTTGTGGTCCGAAGATCAGTGACCTGGCAGGTAAATTCCTTCCCTTTGTTCCACTCTTCCAGCAACACGTCCATCTCACTGAACACTTTTCATGCGTCCATCCGCTTGAATCATGGCTTTACTAGGGACCACAGGTCCCTTTCCAGAGTTGGGGAGCCATTTGATCTCTGGTTTAAATCCAGTTCCAGTACACAAGAGTTTCTGTGGTTCTGATTTCCCCGCACTGGGAACCAGTAAGAGTTCTACAGAGGGGTCACCTGGACAGAAGCTCAAATGTTTAGCATTAAAAGCCAAGAAGGTGATTCTGGCTTAAATATCTTAAATAAAATAGTTTGGTGAAAAGTTTCCATCATTACTGCAAAGTATAGTCACCGAAGACATGTTTAATATCTGAAATTTGCTTCTTTATTGCACTAAAATTATGGGGCTAATGTAGCCATTGAGTTATGGAAGCTGTCTTAGTCGTAGTAGATTGACTATATTAAGGTTAAGAATAAAAAGTGTGTAAAATTAGTTTTTTTTAAAAAAAACTATCACTTAAATAAGATCTGAAGCATGTTTTCTGTTTGAACAGCATAGAAAATGTGCTGAGACTGAAACATTCCTCACCAAAAATCTTCCCAGTGGGGTCTGATGTCCACTGTTTGGAAGGGCTTTGTTGAACCTTACAGGTGAAGCTGTTGTCTTTTTCGCGATGTTGGACAGGAACAGTGATGCGTGTGGTCAGAGAGTTTTGGCCTTTTGGCAGATCCACATACTGAACTTGACCTAGTAGAGTTTGATTGGCCTGGAAGGTGACAGAAAGCTCACCAGAGGGAACATTTCTCGCAGAACATTCCAGAACAGCACCATCTCCATTAAGAACGTCCCAAAGAGGCCTCCTGATCTCCACTGTAAGATCTTTCTCTGCAGACTCTGAGGAACATGAGAACATTTCATTCTCATCATACATTCGAGGGTGAATCTCTGACGTATTCACACAGTATTGAGATTTTTTTGTTTTTGAATTTTATGTTTGAAAGTAGCTTAAGAATTTTACTTTGACTCAAAAATGAGCGTATACTGTATGGAATGATATTATAATCAATTTTACCATTTCCAGATTCATGCACCTAAACATGTAGATCAATGTATCGATGCATTTTTCACTAAACATGCAGGAGAACTGCAGGCATGAGCCACCTACATTGATGGATACGTTTAATAGAGAATTTCCTAAAATGCTTACCTAGACCGTTCACAGTTTTCTCTTCAGGTTTCTCGTCACATGGCTGTTTAACTCTGCATGTTATACTGTGAAGTTGCTCCCATTCTCTTGCTGACAGAGTCAGGTTGCTAACAGTGAGCTCAGTGCTGCTGGTTTGTCGTTTTTTTTGCTCTGCACTGGCTTTTTTCTCCTCGTTTCCATTCAAAACCCATGAGATGACGGAGCTGAGAGCAGCTTTAACAACACAAGAAGCTGTTACCACTGAATCTGGCTGTAGGGACGGATCAGAGAGACGAGGTTTCTCCAGGTGTATCAGTGGTTTGGCTGATGGATGAGCTGAAAATCGAAGAGATTTTTAATGTCCAGTCAGAATTTTTGAAACTTTATGGGGTTTTATTTGCCCCACACAGGGTTTGGAGGGTTACTTTAAAAATGTATTTCAATACATATTACTTATTACCTATTATAAATTTTAATTTGTAACATAATACAATGGATTGCTATTTCAAAGTAATATAATCTGATTACTTTCCATTACCTTTTTATCACTTGTCTTTTTAAAGTCACATAATTAAATAAAAACAAGAAAAAATTATTTCAACAAGATTACTTTAAATTAACACAAGACACTCAGAACAACCACTGTTTTATGGAGCAAAATGACCAATAATAAGTGACTTAATTGTCTGTGCTTTGTACCAAAATCTGGTAGACATTTTATTTTGAGACGCTTCATCAAAAGTAATTATGAGGTTAGATTTATATGTAGTTCAACTGCAGAATATACTATTATAGATCTATTATAGATGATATTAATAGTTTTAGAATGAAATATTTTATTTGAGGTTATTTAACTATTGTGCTCAAACTTTACATGCGAATTTGACCATGAATGTGAAACGTATTGGTATATAATCATATATCTTGTAGAGTCAAGCCAAATAGAATATATCAATAATTTACCAGGGGGAGAGAAGCACTGTAGCCCTTTTTTGATGCTTAAATCTTTAAGCTAGGTTTCTGAAAGCAAGCTCAACCACCCTGAGATAAACTAGCCCATAGCTGTGGTACTCATTGTAATTAACATCTTGTGAAATTGTTGTTTAAGCTATGAAAAAAGGATCACACTCAGTGTGCAGTATTAAGATGTAGAGTTTATAAAGTATTTTGATCTCATCTGAAGCAAAGTTAGCTCAACGTCAGAGTAAGGTAATAATCTTAATAAATAGCCTACTTCATTGCTTGTGAAGTCAGGAAAATCCTTGGTAATGGTAGCGAACTCTACATGAACTCTGCTGGGCACCGGCGTTCTTTGTGTCGATGTGCGGGAAGGGGAGGCGGATCTAGCATTGTTCATATAGTTCAGCTACTAGAGATTGAGTATCTTGAACCTTGACGAATACACCTTTAATGCAGCTAGTTGCAGGTTGTGAGTTGCGTATATAACATATTATTGGTGCAGCTTAGCAGTTCAGAATTCAAAGTTGCATGCAACACAATAGATTACTCTCAGTAGCCAAATTTGCGGCTTATACTTTTGATACATTGTATCGTTCTCACAATATAAAGTGATCTAAGATGTGTTACATTTGCATATCTGTACCATTTTTGTCAACAGTTGACACTGTTGATCACGTATCCTTTCAAATGCGTGAAAAAGTAGCCTTTGCGTTACAGATCATGATGCGTTACCGACATTTTGATTGGCTATTTCATGAAACTGAGAATGGTTGCATGAAATTGAGATGGTTGCAACTGTTGCGGCTGTGAAGTAAGTTACAGTACGCTTGACATAATGCAGTTCAAGTGCAATTTTGTTTAATGTGAGTTTCAAGCAACTAAAGTTGCATGAAAGTTTCACAGTGTAAAGGCAGCCTAAAGACCCAGTCACACTAGCATCTGCCTGCAAGTGGAATTACATGGATTTTAATGCTCTTTGGTTGCAGTCATTCAGGAGACTGTATTATTATCTTAACGTTTGTGTTTTTATTGGTTGCCCTAGACAAGATTTACACTATTTACACTTTTTTTTTGCTACAGTGCGTACTGTGCTGTGGCAAGCATACAATTATCTGATTTGTATATGATCGCTTTTTTGTGGGTTTTGTTGATTGCTGCTGAGTGCTTACCTTTGCAAGAGGTCCATGTAGCAACGTAGTTTTTGGATGAGTGGCTTGCCTCACAGGTGTACTTCGTACCTTTCTCCAACTCATCTGCACCAACGAGTATTTCACTAATGTGAGTGAAGATCTCTACTGGTTTTCCTTCTTTCTGACCTTGACTTTTTAAAGTTCTTCCCGTTACAGTCAATTCCTTCTTATCCATGAACCACGTCACGTTTTTGTTGTCAGGAGTAAAACCATCCAGCAAGCAGACAAGCTTAACATTGTTTTCGTCCTCTTTACTCAGCACACTGATATTGGGCTCCACTACAGGCACAGCTATAAACAGTGGGAACAGAAATCATATCACTGAGGCAGTATTGTAAATTTCCAAAATTCTTTCCATATTATATAATAAAAATGGCTGAAATGTAATCAAAGTCATTCAGAATGGTTTGATGTGAAATGCCCAGTTCTAGAGAGACATCCCAACAACAATGCTGATAGGAACTGGACGTCTGAAGAGTTTAATGGCTCTATAAGAACCTTCACAGGAAGTTAGTACATGAAACGCTTATAAATATACATCCTGATGCGTCAGACATTGTTTTTAGACTTAAAAGATACAATTTTGGCCTTTACAGTTTTTTATTGCTAACAAGCATTTTTAGTTCTCTTTTTCAAATCTCTCCACACAGTTAGCACAACAGCATTATTTGGAAAGCATCCATATTTATTCCTTGCTCAAATAAAGAATGCATTTAGTGAATTCTTCTGTTCACTTCTCACCAGTTTCAGCCTTCAACAAAACTGTGTATTTTTGTAGCTCAAACTGTACTTACAAGGCTGTTACACTTAATCTCAGAAACTAACATGAACATAACTCTGCATATCAATTTGCTAAGTCACAATTGCTATATTGGATAACAACCAAAGCCCAAATAATTATAATGGTTATAGAGATATATGTTTTCCACTTTGTGTCAGTCTGTCTCAGATTAACTTTAGACCAGAGATGTCGGCGGCATTTCTGGAAGTTGTTGATATGTTGCTTCTGCTTTGCCTAGTAGAGTTTTAACTTGTGTTTACAGCTGCAGTGCTGCAAGGTGTGTTTACTGACAAGGGTTTTCTGAAGTAGTCCCAAGTCCATGTGGTTATATTTATTACAGATGCATGTTGGCTTTTAATGCGAAGGTGATTTAATGCATCCTTTACACACAAAGATTTCTCTGTATTCTTTGTATCTTTTAATAATGTTGTTGATTGTAGATAATAATGATGTGATAATAAATGTTGTTCCTAAACTGTTGAACTATTCGCTCAAGCAGTTTTTTGCAAAGTGGCAAATCTCGACCCATCCTTGCTTCTAAATGACTGAGCCTTTCGTGAATGCCCCTTTTATACCGAGTCAAAATAGCATTACCTATTACATATTCACCTGTTTACCTGCGGAAAGTTCCAAAACAGGTCTTTTTGATCATTCTGTAAACTTCCCATGTGTTACATTGTCCCACCCCATATTTTTTTAAATGTGTTGCAGGCATTAAATTTTTAGCACATGCACAAATAATCAATAAAGCTCATGAGGTCAAATATTAAATATCTCTTCTTTTTGGCATTGGGTTTCAACTTTTAATGAAATAATGCAAAGTAAATTTTTAGTTTAGAAGTACAAAATGAATATTTGAAACCTCAAAAACAGCTCAAATGAACTGACCTGTTCTACTTTTCACAGTGTTGTTTACATTTTCAGCCAGAATGGTAAACTAATAACAGTACAAAACAAAACTACAGAGCAAATAAATCTTCACCACTCCATATTTACATAAAATACCTGAAAACTAACAGTCGTTGGTGTTTCTGAGGTGACTGTGCTCTGATTGACAAATTATTCCTGTTATTACAACACTACTGTTGATGTTTTAGTGGAATGAGTTTATTTTAAGATGTTTCTGCAGTGTTTCTGTAGCTGTACAGCAACAAAGTGAACTTCTTAGTGAATGTAAAAGCCTATAAATGCATGCAGGGCATTGAACAGCAAAATAGTCCCCAAAGATAACATATTTATTTCAGATTCACCATTATAAACATGACACATAAAAACTGAGAAGACTTGTGTAGGTTCACTGGTGGTTTTGGATGGTAAATATAATGGCTATATTTGTGTTGTAGACATTGTAGACTGAACCACTATAAAGACATCTGAGTTTCTCGACAATAAACCACTCTGAATGACTTTGTTCACATCTCAACCACTGAATCATGCAGCAGTTTTGAAAAGTTGTAATTCCCCTGTGAAATGGAAGCCTTATTTTCATTCATACAAAAAGGATAAAACATATATCAAACAAATAATATAATTGGTGGTCACTTAATAACATTTACATTTCAAATCT